GAGGCAGCCCGCGAGTCTGTTGATCCATGTCTGTCCTACTGTCTTCGGCCGGGCTCACGGGCTCAAAACTCCCTTGCTTGCTTGCTTGCACTCACTGGCTGTTTCTTTTTCCGGCGCGCGTTCTTTCTCTTTCTCTCTCTCTCTCTCATTCGCTCTGGACTCCTATACAGTACAGTACAGTAGGATATTTGTTCCCAGCAAATATACCATCCAGCAGGAAGCAGCACGTTTCCCTCTGGTATGCGGCGGGCACATGCACAGTACAGTACAGTATTTCTTTGTCTCTCCTCCTCTTTTTTCGTCTTTTCCATGTTGCCATCCAGCATTCCTTTCCCTTTATCATCCTCTCCTGTATATTGCACGTGGCTCCTAGTCTTTACTCCCACGTGCATTCTTCTTCTTCTTCTTTCTTTCCTTCCACCTTTCCCTTTCCTTCGAGCACCTATATATGCACTGTATCCAATTCGCTTTCTATCCTGAAATAAGCTGGGAAAGTATACCAGATTATAGCTAGAGGGTGCGTGTGTGTGATGACTGGGGCAAAGGAATAATTCCAGCATTGTAATAACGGGGGGCAACCAAAAATAAGGGCCACGTAATACTTTGAATGTGTCCTGTAAAAGTAAAAAAAAAAAAAAAAAAATACTTCGTATACATATACTGTATTTTTAGGGTACCAGGAAAGTCAAGCAGGGGTCTCGTGCATACATATATATATATACTGTATATATTAGTGTATATCATCTGTATCTATACAGCTGCATGCCCTACCTGATGCGAGGACAGGCTATTGCGTTGTTTTGCGGGCGATGGTTCTGCTGGTGAGGCATGCGTCGGCGGCCCGCGCGCTTTCCCTTTCTAAAACCGCGCACTGTACTGTGATGTACAGAATACACAAAGTCCATCGTTGCATATACTGCGTGTTATCCACGTAAGGCTTCTTCTTCTGCTGCTGCTGCCTGTGCTGGTGTGTTGAGTGACTGCTGGTGACCCACTGTAGAATGTAGTACAGTATACAATAGCTACAGAGACTTTCTTACCCTCTGTCATCTCATTGTCTTTTTCTTCTTCTTCTTTCTGTATTTTTGTGCATTCATGCGGCATATCCTGTACAGTACTGTGCTTGCCGTGTTCAGGACTCAATTTTCTCTCTCTCTCCCTCTTGGATCTTTATTGAGAGATGTGATAACGATGACGTTCTTCCTGTGTCCTATAGCCGCCCCCCCCCCCACTTCCTCTTATCCTTCGGTCATGCGCAGTAGCAATTACTGCTGTGCTGTATTGCGACGCTTGGCGCGCGCCAGGATGCGCAGATATGTACATATATAGAGAGATACAGTATATACGTTACATATCAGATCCGTTGCAGTATGAGAGATGGAGAGCCAACGGAAACAACCAACCCCCCCCCCCCCCATATCACCCACCCATGAGCAATGAGCAGAGGACAAGTTTGTGTGTGTGTGTGTGTGTTCACCCGCCGACGAGTGGGTGACTGATAGAGAGGGAGAGAGAGGGGGGGGGGGGGCGATAGTCAGACAGGGCAGGCATATCGACTCCGCGTGTGCTTGTGCTTGATGTCGCTGCTGGTCCCGCGCAAGCACATGCTGTCCGGCGGCGGCGGTTCAACACCGAGCGCCAAATACGCAGATCGAGAACAGTGCAGTACAGTACAGTACAGTACAGCCTGTGTTACGTTGTGCAGTAATATTGAAAGGCAGTCATTGCAGTGCAAGTTTTCACTCATATCTGATTCCCCCTCGTTATTATTTATTGCTGGTGCCGTCGTCACTTATTGACCCGTCAGCAGCAATAATGTACATATTACTATAAACCTTTCTGTATACAGTGTGGCACTGAGGTGTTGCAGTGTGGTCCGTTCCTGTGCGCATTTTCGATGCACGTATCAACCTATACTTTTACTGTACCGCGAAAGACAAACGTAATACTGTACGAATAAATCACGGTACATGTTTCAGGGTTTAATATCATCATCATCATCATCATCATCATATGTTTTGCTTGTATCGTAATGATGAGAAATGATTGTCCGACTGACTCATTGGGACTGTTGGAATAATTCATTGTGTACCTGTGTGTGTTTGTGTGTGCTGTATATGTGCAGTGCAGTGCAGTGCAGTTTGTACATTAGTAAAGTACCAGCAGTGCTTGTGCAGTTTGTGTTTACGCGTATAACAATACGGACTGGTGTTCGGCAGGCAATAAGTGGTGTATATAATGTATAAATGTATACACGCTTCCCGATGTGCGTGATGATGTATACAAGAGCAGTAGTGTACGGTACATCAGTATATATCAATAAATAAATAAATATATATATATATATATGACGTGCCTTGCATTTCCTTATTGCACAGTACAGTACATGTATAAGGAGGCTGTGTCCGTCGACTGTCCTGCTGACTCGTATTATCCTGCAGCAAGTACAGTACACAGTAGAGTAGAGTAGAGTACAGTAGAGTGCTGCATCATAAACTGCATGTGCAAAGTGCCTGTTTCCTGCATGATGAGCACCGCATTAATGATGCAATCGCGAGTATAGTAGTGGACTAGTTCGTGGTAATGGTGGTGATGGTGCTGCAGACAGGTGTGATGCATTTCTGATGGAATATCAAGTGAGTGGTACTGTACATTCATAGAGATTGGAGTGGGAGTCGAGTCGAGTGCTGGTGGGGTGGGAACGGATGAAGGAAACACGCTCTGCTTCGTCTGATATATGATGGATTGATTGATCGATTGTCCCACTGCTGCCATATCAGCAAAAGCCACGTACAGCAGTACTGTACTGTACTATACTGCTGCAGGAGCAGCAACACCAGGTGGTGGTGGTGGTGGTGGCAGAGGAGGAGGATTGCCCGATTGATTGATTGCCTCCCTCCCTGCTGCCCCCTGACTGAGTGCACATGATCATGTTATTGTTGATGATTCTCCGTGGACGGTGCCAAGAAGAAGAAGACCCCAATACAATAATAACCAGGATCTTGTATTGTACAGTACTGTACTGCATCACAGCTTTAATTCCATGACACGCTTCATGGATGCAGCAGCGACTCGACCGCAATACATTTTTGAGTAAAAAAAAAAGAGAAGAGCATCACCAGCAATAATGCACATCATAATTAATTTATAATGCGGTACTTGAAATCAGCAATTTTGAGTGGGGTCATAAGTTTGCTGGCGCATCCGGCAGAGAAATAAGAAAAAATGAAAAGATTGTTGCACGTTGTATACAGGAAAATACTTGTATACTCGTCAATTTTGAAATGAAAAGAAAAAGTATTATTTCACGAGTTAATCTCAGTTGAACCTGCGTAGTTGTCGTTTGTAGTACTGCTGATTGATTGATTGATTGATTGATTGATGTACAGTTTTTGCACGACAATAATGCTGAATGCAGTGCATTGCATGCGGATGCTGAGCCAGAGTGTGTGTCATGAGTTGAGCAGCACACGGACATGCGATACGGTGAATGGTACAATAATGTGTATTCTGGTGGTGCTGGTGCTGGTGGTGCGGCATGATGATGGCTCTCATCAGTTCAATAGTGTGTGTGTGTGTGTGTGTGTGTGTATATACGTGCTGCGTGTGTATACAGTAGTACCAACAAGATTATTGAGTGAGTGTCATAAGATGATGATGATGATGATGACAACAGTGACAATTACTGTATTGTTATTGCACCTCATCCCCCCCCCCCTCCCCCACTTTTTCGTTTATTTAAATCAAGCCAGGTGATGTGCTGGGATACGATAATAACTGTACTGTACTGTACTCAATGTATAGGTGTATTTTAGATTTTCGGCAGTCGTGCAGCAGTATATCCCGTACTGTGCTGTATTGTACTGTATGTACGTATATATATATATATATACCTGTCTGTTTCCGTGGGAAGGGTGATGAACATTTACACGCAGCAGCACTTGAAAATTAATGCCGATCATTCCTGTACTGTACATGTGTGTGCTGTGTCTGTATATAGGTATGTAGAAAATAATACTCCTTTCTTTTTCCGTCACCCCCCGCCACCATCACCACATCTTGATCATTTTATTCTCCTGTTCAATCCGAGTTAAAGGCTTGTCGTATTTTCATCATTAGTGCACACACACACACACACACACACGCACGAGCGCAAGAGTAATTTGTGGAAAAGGTATATGCATAGGAAGGAAAGAGACATGAGATGACTGATGAATGTGTGTGTGTGTGTGTGTGTGTGTGTGGATATAGGACGGGTGCAGTAAAGGTCACTGCAAGAACTTGTGTTGGATGGTACATCACTATACTATACCATACGTGACACTGTGTACTATACAATTACTGCTGAACAGTATATATCCTGCTGCTGATACTGTACTCTCACTCAAACAGTATAATTATTCGACTTGTGTTTCTTTCCGAGTGCCCCCTTCCTTCCTTCCTTCCTTCCTTTCTTCCCTTCCTTTGACTTCCTTCCTATTCTTTCTCTGCGGGCATGACGAGGAACGAACGCTGTACAGTATATGCATCTGAAAGAGAGACGATTCTCCAGCTGCTGCTGCTGCTATCGACTCTCCCTCTCGATCGTCGTCGTCATTTATTGTCGATCGGCGGCGACGACGATGGACTGAGAAAGACAAGGACGAGGGAAATCAGGAATAACTCTATCGGGCGATATGCGGGTCTTTTAGAATGTACTGTACTACAATATGTATATCTTCAGCTGTACAGCATAGCAAGCACAGCAGAATGATTATGAGACAATAAGCCGAGAGTGAATATTCCAATAAATAATGTGTATTTTTTTTTTCCACTGTGTTGGGCAGATTTGATTTAATTTCCCATTTGCTGCTGGTTTATTTTTCTCTTTCCCTGTGCGGATATACTGTACTGTATATGTACAAGTGAATCAAGAAAGAAGGAATATTACATTCACGTGACGCGACGCGACGCGAGTGTGCCATCCATATACGCGTACAGCATAGTACGAGAGGCGTGCGAAAGAATAAATAAATAAATAAATAAATAAAATTCGCGTAGTAAACATGTTGGAGCAACCGAAATACGATTTCGACATTTCGCGGAAGCGTCGTGATTCGGGTTTCAACTTTCGTTCCGGGACCATCGTTGTCGGCATTATAAACATGGTGAGAGTGATTGTGGTGATTTTCATGGGCATTATATATATATATAATACTGCTGTATACATATTACAGTACAATACTTGTACAGTATATACCGTTGTCAAGTTTTGTGCATTGCATTGATGGTCCAGCAATGCAGTACTAAATTGTGCTGTACTGTATAGTAATACGATCCATATGGAATATGCCCCACGCAACAACTGCGTCATGAGCGAGCGTTTGAGCGACACCTACACCAACGTCTGCCAAGTGACGCCACCTCGAAAATGCACGCAACACACGATAGCTTGATGTCGCTCACAGAGAATGAACTACCCTTATAACTTCTATCCCTAAGCCTCAACCTCTAACGTATAATATATTATTTTTTCTGATTTCCGTGTACTGTATCAACATTGTTATTATTATTATTATTATTACTTTTATTGCTGCTGTCTTACAGATTCTCTTGGCCCCGGCAGGAATCATCATGGGATTCATCTTTTACGCCCCCTTCAGCCACTTTTACTTTATCCAACAGGGTGCCAGGACGGACCAGGCGAGAGACACGTTGAATGGTGAGTTATAAACTACAGTACTCGTGTATATAATTATAGTGATTGCACATGTGTCGAGTTTTAATGCTGCAATATACTCGTGTGCAGTTGGCAATGCCATCAACGTGTGGACCGCCGTGCGGATACTGCCTTCGATCCTGGCCTGCTGTCTGCTCATCATGGGTGCAATCAGGGTGGGTTGCATTATACTGTACACCAGTACTTTATGTGTATGTGTGTGTGTGTGTGTGCAAATGAATGTGTGTAACTGATGTATACGCAGGAAGAAAAGAAACTGCTGAGGCCCTGGCTGGCCTGGGTGGCCCTCAACTGCGTGTTTGGCCTGGGCTGCCTCGTGGCCCTCATTGCCTGTGCCCGACGGGCCCTGATTGCCAACAACGACGTGGGCCTCATGTGGACGCAGGTCCTGCTCGTGCTGTCGGAGGGACTCATGTTTCCAATAGTCTATGCCTTCCACAAGGTACTACAGTACTTTATTTGCACATGATGATGATGATGATGCTTGATGTGGTTTTTTAAATCTCTCTTGTCTTCTTCTTCTTCTTCTTCTTCTTCTTCTGACGACGATGATGATGCAGAGACTGTGCAGAGACCCCGTGCGTTACGGTGACGAATGACTGATGAATTGATTGATTCACGATGGCAAGGTCGCAGAGAGAAAGAGAGAGAGAGAGAGAGAGAGGCAAGGAATCATTTCCCTCATATTTGGACCTCATTGACGACGACGACGACGCACACTCGAGATATCGTTTGTCATTCGTCATTTTCTTTATTCTTCGCCAATGACGACGACCATGTGGGGGGAAACCAAACAAAAAGAAAGAAGAAAAAAAAAGAATAGTCAAAAAATCAAAAGATAAAAATAGAGGGAGAGGTGATGAAAAGAAAAAGGAAGAATAAGGAGCGGGTTCATGATGATGATGATGCTTCCGTCCAGCACACAATCTCCTCTGCTCTCGGGGGAAACCAATAATTTTTTACGCATTATGATGAAAAAAAAACGGAAATAATCCAAGGATGAATATATGTCGTCAATGAGTTTGCGGTGCGGAAAGGAAGGAAAACAAACATACAACTCAAATCTAGTCTGCATTCTGGTGTCGTGTCGCGTGCAACGGACAAACAAAATCATCAAGAGAAAAGAAGATGCATTTTTGTCTCTTTCTCTCACCCAATTCAAGTTGAATATTTTCCTACTCGGAAAAAAAAATATTTTTTTTTGCTGCTGCTGCTGCGTGTGTTCATGTGAATATATATAGGTGCACTTTTATTTGAGAGAATTGTATTCCCTTTTCCCCCTTCATTTCTTCTTGACTCAGTATAATTTACACAGCATTAATACTGTAATGATAATCATGACGCACATGTATACGGTTATTATATAATCGCTCTGTCTCTCATTTATCGAAACGATACACTAAAACGAAAATAATATTGTACTGCCTGAGGTATGACGAGAGATATATATACCGTTGTGGAACGTGATTGATGCAACCTCTATATCCTTCCGTTATTTTTCCAAACGAGGGGCCGAGCGTTAATTATTCGACAACAACGACGACAGACAGACAGACACACACACACACACACACACACGTACAATTTATTTCAAAAAATTAAAATTTAGAACGGAATTATCTCTTGGGACGTACCGGACGAGAGAGAGAGAGAGAGAGAAAGAAAGAAAAGGAGGAGGAGGAGGATGAGGAAAAAGGATCAATATATGATGAAGGCGGGAATAAACAATGATGATGCTAATGATAATACTCTTGAAGAATAAGCAACCTCGTCGCACAATAAACGACATTATGGCACACACGGACACAGACAGACAGACAAAAATACAATTTCAAAACTTGCGGAAATCCGCCTCGTACAAGTTGGTCTTGGCCGCCTTGAGCGGGAGCTCCTTGTACTTGTCAAAGTTGCGCGTGTCCATGGGGCCCGAGAGGCGGGGTCGGTAGGGCGGGGCCACGTCCTGCTGGTGGAGACGGATCCAGTCCGTGCGGGCAAACCAGGGGTGGAAGAGGATCTCGTGCACGCCCGAGTGCGAGTTGCCCAGTCGCTTGACAACACTCACCGACAGGAGACGAGCGACAAAGTCCCGGAGCTCCGTGCCAAAGTGCTTGGGCGTGCGGAACCGACCAGCCAGGATCTTGTCGTACATCTTGGCCGTGGACGCAGAGTAGAAGGGCGAGTGGCCCGAGTTGAGTTCGTAGGCCAGGACGCCGACGGTCCACCAGTCGACAGACTTGCCATATCCGCGATTCTGAATGAGCTCGGGGGCCAGGTACTCGGGCGTGCCGCACAGGGTCCACGTGCGGCCCTTGACGATCTTGGCAAAGCCAAAGTCAGAGACCTTGAGGTAGCCGCGCGAGTCCATCATGATGTTCTCGGGCTTGAGGTCCCGGTAGATGACGCTGTTGAAGTGCAAGTACTCCATGGCCAGCACGACCTGGGCGACAAAGAACCGGGCCTGGTCCTCCTTGAAGTGGTGTCGCTTCGTTTTGGTGAGGTGGGCAAACAAGTCGCCGCCCACGAGGAACGGCAGCACCATGTACAAGTTGGCATTGTCCTTGAAGTGGTGCACCAGGTGCACGAGGAACGGGTACCGCACCGAGGCCAGGATCCGCTTCTCCGACAGCGTGTGCGCAATCTGCTTCTCCTTCACCACGTGCGCCTTCTCCAGGGCCTTGAGCGCGAACGGGTCGCCGGTCTTGCGCTCCGTCACGAGGAACACCTTGCCGAACGAGCCCTTGCCGATGGTCTTGAGCAGGCTGAAGTCGGAGGGCCGAGCAGTGGACGGCTTGGGGAACTTGTACCTGCATTTTAGTATTGTATATAAAATACAAAAAAGGCATGATACAATTTAAATCAGCAGTGTCTTTCCTCAAGATCGTGAGTATATAACAGCACTGGAATAAAAACGTGCATATATATATATATATATACAGGAGCACAGCAACAATGCTGTTGTAACTGGAACGTACGTGAACGTGGAGCGACACCTACGCACGGCTTTTAGCGTTGCCCCAACCGCAGAGGATCAGCTATAGTACTAGACTGCGCTACTCATTGTGAACCTCATTCTCTCTACGTCCAACTATATACTGTATAGTCACACTACACTTGTACTGCTGTACACGTACAGTACAATAAGCTGCTGCACATGTACTGTACCTCTCTTCAAAGTCGATCTTGGCAATGGAGAGGATGTTGCGGAAAAAGGTGCGGACGCGAAGGTGCTTGGAGTCCGTCGGCGGCTCATCGGGAAAGTACGAGTCGAGGGTGTCGTTTCCGGAGCCGGCGACGCCGATGCTGCGGATGATCTTCTTAATGGTGCCAGCCACAGTATTGGCGGTGATGGGAGGACTCTGATTCCTGCATAAGGGATGTATTCCCGATTCTTGAAGTCACTCATGCACAACCGCAGGAGAGAGAGTGTTGGGTGCCGGGCGTGAGGGGATGGGGGGCGCAGGGGTGAGGAGTTCTGACGGCGTGCGATCCGGCTCCGGCGAGAATGTGCCTCACCGTATATAGTCACACTACACTTGTACTGCTGTACACGTACAGTACAATAAGCTGCTGCACATGTACTGTACCTCTCTTCAAAGTCGATCTTGGCAATGGAGAGGATGTTGCGGAAAAAGGTGCGGACGCGCAGGTGTAACCTCAGGCAGCCGCCGAGTAGCCCTTTCATGCTCAGCTCCCACAGCAAAGGCCTCGGCCGCTGCGGCTACGACGCCTACTAGAAGAATTACCACGGTCGGTGTCATAACCGCCACTACCCTCCTGGACGACGATGAGTACCACCACCACCACCACCACCATCCACAAGCAGCACCTCGTCTTCGTCGTCTTCTGCTGGGAAACCACCCGAGTCGCTCGTGCTGAAATCCCTCTCTGCTGATTCACTATCCTTTATTTCAAATACAATATATATTTTTTTGCAGCGCCAGGAATTATTTAGAGAATGCACTGCACTGCAAGTAGTAGGACAAAGAGCGACACCTGGCGGAGGAACCAGTCGGACGCAGCAGCAGGTGCCGAGTGCAGCAGCAGGGACTCGGCAGACGGCGGGACTCGGTCCTCCACGTAGTCGCGGACTCGTCGCGCGTTCTTGCTGTAGTACCTGTACCACCCTCCTATTCCACCTCCTCCTTCCTCTTCTTGTTCCTCCTCGTCTTCTTCTTCTTGTTCTTCTTCTCCTTCCTCTGTCGTCCCCCTGCTGACGATGCTCACCGCCAGAAGCAGGAGCAGGGAAACCAGCAAAGTCCGGCACGGATGATAAAGTCATAATTTGAATTCATCGTTATTCGTGTAATAATTATGACGTTCAACGCGTACGAGACGATAGGCGTGATGGGTAGTTGATCAATTAATTATTAATTTAAGGAGATGCGAGTCGTGGAGAAAATTAAAAGGGATCCCTCATTTAATCAAGTGGGAGCATATCTCCTGATACGCTATAGATACTATACACAGCGAAAAGCAGACATCAATCACTCATGGACGAATGAATGAAAGAAATGACAAAGACAAGAGAAAGGGGAAAAGAAAAAGGAAAGTAACACAGTATACATATATAGTCTATAAACCCATGCCAGCCGTCAAGTCGTATACGTGATGCAAGTCCGCCAGCAAGAATGAATTACAGTACAGTACAGTATTCTACAGAAAAAAAGCACGAAGAAGAAGGAAAGCCGTTGAAAGTCGTTCAAAACTCTGCCACATACGCGTTATTGTATTGATCATAATTATCAGCCGGCCATTTGAGGATCGTCTTCTTCTTCTTTTTCTTCTTGTTGTTGCTCTTGGACGTTTCCTTTCTCATCTTGCTGCTGCTGCTGTTGTTGTTGTTTTGCTGTGTGTCGCGGTTCATCGTCACCACCACTTCTTTTTGGTGTGTGTGTGCGTGTGTAATGTGACTTGAGTATCAGAGTAAAATTTGGACGATGATGTCTGGTCGAGAAAAGGAGAGATAGAGACTGACGGTGCAATCATCGCAGTTTAGTTGACGGCTCATATATTCATGAGTAAAGCCCCTACGGTTTCAATCTATGTAGTACTGACTGTAAATCACACACTGCTTTCAATCTAAAGGCTGTATCTCGCTTCGTCAAGTTGTGACGTTTCACACGGAAAAAGCAGTACAATATACTGTATACAGTATACTTTGCTGTGTATTTTAGCTATATTGACGCGAGAAGAAAAGGCTCAACACACTACTGTACTGTACTCTACTGTACATGCTGTGTATATATATATATATATATATATATGGTGCTGGTCCAGTCCGCGGTATATGCATAGCTATATATATAGATGGAATGGAGCCTACGGTACTGTGCGTGTACGTATTCTTGAATAATGCGGCCACTCTCGCTGCATGGAATGAATATTGCCTTGTGTACAGTAGTGTAGAGTGTTAAAGTTTCATATATTCAGTATACTGTACTATAGAACTGATATATACTGAAGGTGCAGTTTGAATAATATCTGCATGAGTTGCACCAAATACAGTAGTATGTAGAGAATATGTAAGATGAGGCGGAAGATAAGAGTGCATATGATTCGATGGCGGAAACCCCCACAAGGAAGAAGGAAGGCCATCATGAGCAGCATACACTATGCGTACAGTATACATTCAAGATGGAGACAGTACGTCACTCATCCTCGATCTTGTCCACTTGATGATGCCAGCATTTCACGTGTGTCGTCCATGCAGCCGACGACGATGACGAGTTGACTCCTTCCCGTTCACGTTCATGCTGCACCAGCAGACCTCGAATCGATCAATATAAAGTGCACCATATTTCCTCCAATAACTCAGTGTTTTCCGCGTATACGCACCCGTGATGTGGTCCGCAGGACATTTTCACCGTGATGATACAGTATATTTATGAAAAGTAGCAACAAATAAGTCCATCATATCTTTTTTTTTTAAATAATTTCATTGGAATATATGACGAAAATGCCAGTTGAAATTATTTCCAGAAAAATAAATTTAAAAAAAGTTTCCCTTTCCATATATCTTCCAATAAACATTTGAGACAATGAAATGCTCACCTGCTGATGCTTGCTGAAATAAATGATTTCAATTTTTTTTTCATGCAGAGAAACCCTTGCTGTTCAAACAACCACCTTTCTAATTTCCAATGACATTCACCTGCTGTGCAGCTGATTCATTTTGATGCCTGACTATATTTTTGCAAAATACTGTACAGTAGTAGAAATTTTAATAAATAAAAGGAAAAACCTGCAATTGAGCATTTCAAGCAGCAAAACTGTTTCGAGTCTGAAAATAAAAACAAAAACAATCGTGTTATGAGACTTTTTGCCAGTCTGCAGAACATGTTTTGAGAACTTATTGCCAGTCCGTGAAAAATGGTGCGGAAATTTGCCGGCCTTTCTGCCGAAATAGAGTTTGGGAAACGAACACTGGTGTAACCAATAATATACAGTGTACAGTTACGTACATGCAATATAGTGCTGAATCACAGTTTGCTGTGCGGCATGTATAATGACCGTGTCTGTATATATATATATGCAGTGAATATATGGAACAATGAGTGCGAGACGAAAAGTACAATTCTGTATATATATATAGATATATGTACAGCAGTAGTGAGTTGTTGTACAGCAGTACTGTACAGTACTTGTAGTTTATACAGTAATGCATATATACTGCACGTATATACAGTATATATATATATATAGGGCCGAGTCGATTACTGCATCGATCATTCCTCGTCGGTGTTGATGTCATCGCCGAATGAACAAATATAGTCCTTCTTCATCGTCATCTGCTGCTGTTGCTTTTGCTTTCGCCGTTTCTCTCGTGTGCTGTATATTCATCAGTGTTCCCCAATCTTTTTTTTTTCGTCCGCGGACTGGCAAATTAAAGCATAGAAAATAAATAAATGAAAAATTTGCGGACAGGCCATAATTCCTTAAAATATTTTCCGGGGACTGGCAATGAAAAATGTCGCAACACAGAGATTGTGGAAGACATGCCTCGGAAAAGTTTCCTTTTAAAGACTGGTACAGTACTGTATTTGGAAAGGGTCGGCTGTTTTATTGTTGCAAAAATGAAGTCGTCAATAAAAGCCAGAATAATGCAGCAGTTATTTTAGTGGAATGTCTTTTTTTTTTTTTTTAAATCTCGCCTTCAAGACTTTGTACGTACTGCAGTACAGTATAGAGTACTTTTTGAAAATTTGACCATGCTGCTGATGAAGAAAAAATATTCCTGCGGGCCGGGAAAATACTGTACTGCGAACCAGCCCGTGGTCCTTACACACGTCGTCGAGTGTTATATTGTGTTGCTGCGCGCCGTCGTCTATGTATGTATACACTGGGTGCATTTATTGTACTGTATATCGTATGCACATATATAAACAGTATTGCTGTTTATAGGTACTGTACATGGCAGTGCTGGTCGGTCCGTGTATTCGGCGTATTATAATAATAGTGCCGTATCGTGCTTGATGGTGGACGGCTGCAGCAATAAGAGCTATATAGGTACTGTATATACAGCGAGGACGAGACGGGCGTGTCTTTCCTTTCCGAATTCCCAACAACAACATTGCCAGCGCCAGCACCAGCACCAGCAGCCGACGCATCAATCCATCGGCGACACTTTGTTTGTTTCGACACTAGCTCTCCTCCTTCTGCTGGTGCTGCATGAGAGGATCCCCGTCATAGCATCGCACATCAGCAGCAGCAACAACAAGGAAGACTACAAATGTCGTGCTGACTGCTGAGACATCACGGCAAGAAGAAGAAGAAGAAGGACGAGGATGGCATCAGCATCATCATCATGCAGTGGCTCGTGTCTGACGATGCTGACAGCAGGGTGCGAAACCCGGGCCTGGGCCATTTCCGTGGGTGTCGTGGACATTGTGAGTCCATTATACTGTACATAGTACTGTACAGTACTGCTGTCTATCATGCATTTACAGTACTGTACTGATGTGCAATACAATTACAATTATGTATGTTCCTCACTCATCATCATCATCATCATCAGCATATTATTCCGCGTGTCTCATCATACTATATAGCTCTATATATATACAGTACTGCATTTTGTTACTTATCCATGTGTTTCAAGGCAGCCGTGTTGCCGGTGACTTGCATCGCCATGGTGCTTGGGCTGATGAATCATCAGCAGGGACGTGATGTAGACGACAGCATAATCATCAACAATAGCAATAATAATAATAATGATGAGTTGCACCACCACCAGCAGCACTTGGCCTTTGCTGCTGCTGCTGCTGCTGGTGGGGAAGCTAACGATAGTTATAGCATTGATAATAATTATAACGGAAAGTACGAAGACGACCTCAAGAACCATCACCAGCACCAGGTGATGGCGCCTAGCAGCACATCATCAGCATGGCGACGGGCTCGCCTCGTGTCCTTCATGTCCACGCAAGGTTCGTGTGCTATACACTACACCAGTACAGTACAGTACTGTATATATATATATACACAGTTCCTCAAGGCAAGATGAATATTCCAAATACAATACGAGAATTATAACACGCATCATATATGCTGCTTGATCATCATCATCATCATCCCTGTACTGTATAATATAAACCGCAGAATAAGTATATATATGATGGTGTCTCGACTATATACTATATGGTTGTTATAATGTAATTAATGCATGCATGCATGCATGGCCACTTGTTGCTCAAAAAGTTGAATTTAAATTTAGATGAGCATCAGTGTACGTGCGTGGGTATGCAGCATGTAGACTGAACAGTACTGTACTGTTGCTTGTGAAAATGTTGCATGTCATCCCTTCCATATATATATATTTTTTTTTTTTTTGAAAGAGACGAATAATATGCAATAATAGACGACGAGTAGAGTATATACGGTACATATAATGATGAATATGCACATCTTGTAATCCCTGCATTCGGTTTCATCTCATCTCATCGTCATTGATTGATTGATTCATGCACTTGATGTTGCAGTTGACACGAGTGTCGGCTACTGGAGCATCCTGCGGTTCCTGACCGTGTCCCTCTGCGCCTACCTGGTGGTGCAGGGCACGAGGAGGGTGAGTCCTTTGTACAGTACAGTATACTGCATGTAAATATACGCATGGATGATGCATCATCCATGCGTATAATAATAATAATAATAATAATTCCAATAATACTGTACAAGCAGAGCCAAGCCTGGATGCTCAACGTGTGGATGGTGAATGCAGGACTGAATTTCCTAGTCACGTTGTTTGCAGTCACTGCCTACGCCATCCTCGAAGGCAGCATCATGGACAATCAACTCGAGTCTTTGTCGTCAGTCAATAATAATAATAATAATAATACGGCCTGTGTCCTGGCCCTGCTCGTCATCGCTGCCATCGGCTGTGCCCAGTTCCCCATAGTCTACACCGCGTACAAGGTGCATGAGAAAACAAACAAACAAACATGTTGTTGTTGTTATTATACATGTCCCCTTTTGAAAAAATGATTAATTCTCTCTCTCCCTCTTTCCCCTTATCAAGAGAGCCAAGAGATTGGCCAAGACTGCCACGCAATTGACGCCTCACCATCAGGCAACCATTGCATACGACAGACTGGCCTGATTCATTCATCATGACACGAATAATTGGCTGTACTGTGCTGCTTGCTTGCTTGCTTGCTGTTGGTCGTGTTTCTCATTTCCTCTCTCGTGCGATACGATATTATTCTTGATGGCTGCATTATTCAGAGAAAAGAAAAGAAAAGAAACGCGACGGGTTGCTTTTTTTTCTTCTTTAATTTTATTTTTTTGTATGGAAATGTGCAGCAGTCGAAGCATCGACGAAGAGAGTTTTCATTTCGGCACAGCAGTGCAGCAGCTGCCCAAAGATCTAGGCTCGGATTAAATTTGCGTTTAAACTTTCGTTGGAAAGCTAGACAAGGACGACGACGACGTCAAGCATAAAAAGCAGCATCGGTACAATCATCATCATCATCATGATGGTAGCATGCACAGCACGAGGTGGAGACGAAGACTCGACATTTTGATTATTATCGTTGCTTTTGTTGTTGTTGTTGTTTGTCTTGCTGGACGACGACGACACTTGAATAGCTTCGCGGGCCTTCTTCTTGTCACTGCTCTGCTGCTTGCTCGACACGTGCTCACTCTTTTATTAGTTGTCGACGAGTCAACGTGATGCTTCTTTTCCTCCTCCTCCTTCTTCTTCTTCTTCTTGCTGTCGCCGTCGGCATCGTCGACGTCCTTGAGATTCCGCGGCGCCTTTCTCGTAGCCGGCCTGCTGGTCGTCGGGGGCTCGGCCAGAATCTGCACACAAAAACAATCAATCAATCAAGAACCCCCCCGAGTAGTAGTGTGTGTAAACGTTTACAAATGCATCTCCCAACCCGAAAAATACTATAATATCATATCAATACGTTTGGGATGCCGCCAGCTGCTGCTGCTTCTTGCACGAGTATCTCCGTCGACGATGTGGATGGAGGAGTATCAACAGCAGGAGGAGGAGGAGCAATTGTAGCAGTAGGATTTGTCTACAGCATCATCAGAGGAAATGAAGACACATGAATCAAATCAATCAATCAATGTACTCTTGTAACAATATAGACATTATTGAATGCATCAAAATACAGATGAGCAGCACCGACAATAATAACTCACCTCGTCCACGACTGGTGCCGGTGCTGATGATGGTAGTGGTGGTGGTTGAGTCGGCGTCGAGGTCGTCGTCAATAACGATTCGGGAGCAACGATGGGAGGAGGAGGAGGAGAAGGTGTTACCGGCACAGTCGTCATCGTCGTCATGGGCGTGGCTTCACTCATCTCTTCCACTGCTGGTAGAGCTACTGTTGGAGTAGGGGTACTGGAGGTGGAGGTGATTCCAACGCAGCCTGATGAGGCATGCTGGCATCATCATCAGGAGAAGGGGCAGTGGAAGAAGAAGAAGTAGCAGGCCAATTAATCGGGTGGTTGGCATCATCCTTCCTGCTATCGAGTTCCGGCTCATCGACAGCAGTAGTAGTAGGTGGTGGAGTCATGATGGTGTCATCCTCATCATTTCCTTCTCCTCCGTCAGATGGCGTGGCAGAAGGAGGAGGAGGAGGAGGAAGAGGAGGCTTTTGAATTTGAGTCTCAATTTGAGTGGACCCAGCATCCAACGTTTGCGGAAGGCCTGCATATATCACAACCAAGGGAAAGAATGAGTCAGTGAGAAAAAAATAAAACAAGACGAATGTGCTGCATATATGTCATGTCATGTCATGTCATGTCATGTCATCACATGCATGCATGCATGCACTATATACACACTCACCTGGACGTCTCGTTTTTCCGCCCCGGTACCGGTTCTGCTCATTGTTCTCGTGACGTCGTCAGCGGCAGCTCATTATCCGTTATTCCGCCCTAAATGTTGTGCGGTAAGACTACCAAAGAGTGAGTGAGTGGACGCAACAAAGAAAAAGACGCAATTGATGTATTGATGAGGATCGATCTACGTATATACAGTACTACAACATACACATATGCCACCTAGCACTTGTATGGTACCTGCAGTGCTTCACGCAGACTCTCGGGATCGAAAAGTAAGAATAATGAGCAAATATTCGACGTAATTATTATAATATTGATGATGATGATGATGATGATAAGGAAGCCCAGTGAAACAGAATGATGACGAAAAAAGAAGAAGAACGATGTAAGAGTAAAGATGGCAGCCCCGGGGATATGACAAGGTGGTGGTGGTGGTCGTAGGATGAGCAGCCAGCGGTGGGGGGGGGAAGGGAGGGATTTTCGATTAAAAGGGAGGATGGATGAAAAAAATTAGAAAAGGAGGAGGATGAAAGGCGCACTTGCGTATTCAGATTAATAAAGCGTGCCGCGATAAATACGCGGGCGATATAGAAACAATATCCCTTTATTATTGACTCGACGACGAATACATTATTCAAGTGTACAACTTTAACAAGGTTTTCCCTCATCAACTCCCCACATTTCTCGTGTCTTTTTCTTTTCCAAGTATATACAGTACATACACTTGCACGTATTTTATTCCCGTGAACCTTCCAAGGCTTTTCTTCTTCTTCTTCCTCTTATTGTCGCTTGACATCCCCACATTTACATGTCATAGGTATTTGACACTCGTTCAAATACTGTGCAGATCCCGATTCCCAACCAGCATTTCATTGCTGTGAGGGTTCCATATACTGTATACCGTATGTATAGAGGAATAAACAGCAATTTTGAATAAGGTGCAGCATCGATCATGATGGGCTGACGGAGAAATTTCATTATACAGCAGTACACCACTGCATGTGTACAGAGACATCTGCTCATGCACCAGATTCTACAATTTGCAAAAACACTTATGACTTTGTAGATGACGCTCCTCCCTCACGTCAACAACAGACACACTTGATTCATCCAGCACTTCCTTCTTCTTCTTCTTCTTCTTCCTCCTTGCTTTCCCTATTTCTGCTGCATAAGTTGAGGAATTGAATGGAATAATGGATGCACCATCACACGTGTACCCCACATGTGTCGCCGATGGTGAGTTATGAGATGGCCTTGGCATAGACAATACTTGCTGCAGTACAGTACTGGACTGCAGTTTTTCTGTCGTATAGTCATGCATCAGATAAAGATATTCAATTTTGAACATCAATCAATCAATCAATCAATCAATGACCATTCTGTACTGCAATTATACAGATAAGAAAGATTATGCATCGTCCTGCTGACGAGAAAATAATGGGGGAGGACTGGAGGAACAGCAGGAAGAGGAAGCACATGAGCATATGCACTGTACTGTATATACAGGATCGAGGAGGAGGAGGAGGAGGAGGTCGTCAGCAGGATGTGAACCCACCAAGTCAAGTCTGAGAAAAACAAGAGCGAGAGAGGTTCACCCGTCAGCATGCATGCTGAAAAAAGCAGATCAAGTGGCATGTGTGTGCGTGCATTGTACTGTATATACTGTACAGGGGCACTGCAAGGAGAGGTGTAAAAAGTATACCAATAAGACCAGGTTCTCCATCTCTTTCTTTCCAAGTCATCTCATCTGTCCGCGACTCTCTGGTGCTTCATCTGCTTTTGCTGCTTGGCTATATGCCTGCCTGCCTGCTTGCTTGCTCCGAATATACTGCACAGTACAGTACAGTGTTTGTCATATGTAAGGGGAAAAGGAAAGGAAAGGATCCTTGTGTGTCTCCCATAGGTTGGTTGGTTGCTTGCTTGCTTTACGCGTGCTGGCTGCTGCTGCTGCTGTTTGGGTGCATTTCCTGAAATCCTTCTTCTTGTTCTTCTTCTTCTTCTTCTCCCTGTTGCTGGTGGTGAGTCCTGGCTTGCTTTTATTCCTATTTGCCCGTGATGTTCATCGTCGTCGTCGTCGTATTCTGAAAACTTGGAACGTAAGGGAGGGAAAAAAGAGGAAGGAAAAGAAAATGGCCGATAGAATTTTCTCTGTCCTTCCGACGGCATCAAAGCTTTACAGTAGTAGTGTTACTGCACTTGGCTGGGGTTTCTGAGGCTGAGGCTCACTCGTTATTTTTCTCGACGACGGCGACGACGAAGAAGACGAGGCTCTCATCATGGGTGTACAGTATATTGTTCAGACATTCATTCATTCACAAGAATCAACTCGCGGCACGTGCGCATAAATTCATCAAGTGGACCACTGCTGATGTATATCGTGCAAAAAAGGCGCTATGTATATACGATATGCAGAGACTTATTCTTGATATATTTTCGCGTGCAAAAAGCTGCAGCTCATTCAATACATGAGTGAACGAATCAAAGAAGAAGAGGAATTTAAAATTACCACCTTGTTGCGTTTCTCTTTTTTCATGCTGCTACTGCTGCTGTGGATTCTGTTTATTCGCGTTGAGTGGATATATATATATATATATATATATATATATATTACTGTATAGTGTATACTCGAGTCGAGTACCTGTATATAGTGGATTATTGCGTCCATCACATGAAGGCAAATGACAATAACACATGTGAATACTATAACCCACGTGATGCTCGTATGTATATTGCAGGAAATGAATCAATCAGTCAACGAGTGCCGGCTGTTTGCGGTGCAATACAAACAGTGTGTGTAGAGATTCGACTCTATATATATATGTATAGACGTGTGCTGCATCAGTCGTCACCAGGTGTATAATACTTATAGTCACTAGTGGAGTGAAGGTACAATATATAATATGATGAGATGGGGGAAAACGGGCAAGACGGTGGTGGCGAGTGCGACAGTCATTATTGTGTGGTCCTCGGGTCTGCTGCTCCTTCTTCCGCCCTCGTCATTGGCACAGGTTTCCTCCTTATTCACTCATTCATTCAATCATTTCTCGTTTGTCCAAGAAATGCACAGTACAGTACTGTATTTATATCACTGCAAATGGTTGTGTTGTTGCTGCTGTAGCTTTATATACTGTATAGTGTTCGAAAGAGTGTGCTGATGCTGAGTGACATTTTGTTTGTTTGTTTCTTTCTTTGTCTGCTTGTTTGTTTGTTTAATGTGAATATACTGTATATACAAGGACGAGGACGAGACGAAAGCAGGAGACAGCAGGAACTCATCGTGCTCTGATGGGGAATGCGAACCCGAGTCGTGCCCCGCGGCCGAGGGCTGCAGGGCCGGCTTCACTCTGGAGTCTGGACCCGTGCGGGTGTTGCACAGTGTGTGCCGCGAGTCTGGGGGACAAGTGCGACTGCTATTACAACAACAACAACAACTCGGATGACGATGATGAGCATGAGGACACCTCGTCGAATGTGGACAGGGCCAGTCAAGGGTCATCATCATCATCATCATCATCGAGGAATACTCGGTTATTTGGCGATTGTGGCGACAACCTCGAGTGCCGACTACGGGACGACAACCGGTCACCAGGGGTAAAGTATCATCCTGTGTATACATTATTATTATTATTATTATCATTATTATTATCGGCATCAGGACCAAAAAGCCACTTGCCAGTTCACAGACCAGAGACTCGTGTGCGGCTTGAATGGAAAGACCTACAACAACATTTGCCAGTTGCAAGAAGAGTCTGTGGTTGTTGCGGTACTTGAAGATTCTTCTTCTTCTTCCATCAACGAGAACGTGGACAAAAACAACAATAAGCAGCAGCAACCCTTGCTCACTGTGGCCCAATGGGGGCCATGCGAGGAAGGCAAGTACATGTTCGAGTATTGGATGATGATCGATGATGAAATGGTCCTTTTCCTTTCAAATTATCCCTCGAATCATCAGCCCCCAGCATCACCGGCAGCCCCAAGCCCCAGGTCCGAGTGGGCCAGCACGGGAATGCAGCCCTGGCAAGCGAGGCCCGCGGCTGGCCCGTGCCCACCATCACGTGGGAGACGGTGCGGGCATCATCAGACGGCAGTCATTTTGTGCTCCCAAGTACAGTACAGTGTCTTGTCATACATGCACGTACAGTGGTATATATCTGCATGATGATGATGATGATGATGATGATGTGTCTATTTATATAAATAAATAAAGGCGACCGCATGACCATTGCCGTGCAGCAATGATGAGGCGGGCCAGAGAGACTCATGGTGCGCGGGTGGGTGCAGGTCATGAGTGTGCAGCCCCACGACGGCGGCCGCTACACCTGCGTGGCCACCAACAAGTTGGGCGAGGCGAGGGCCGAGTCCCAGCTGGGCGGGTCTACGAGGGTAAATACTGCATGCATGCATGTATCTACCCAATCTAATCTACTGTGTATATACCGTACAGCACATGGTCATAATTTCACCCAATATTCCCTCGCTTTTCACTATACAGGATAGTGCCAATGATAATAATAATAATAATAACAATAACAATGAGGGAAACCCGGATTTATTGCCAATAACTCACTCGTTATTATTAGTAGTGCCATCAAAGGATTTTCTGTCCATGCAGTCACAGATAAAGTACAGTACAGTACTTTATTATATTTCTAGATATAGTGTACTGTACATGTATTGTTTGTTATCCAGGAAACGCTTGGATATGTTTTGAGGATCTCCCTTTTTAATTTGCACTTGCTTCAAGGAAGCGTACAAGGTTTTCTCCCTGCAGCTGTTTCCTTGTTT